TATCTTGTACTTTGTGAGAGAGGTCGGTTCTTGTTTTGGTCTGCACCTTTACGGTATGCAACAGTTTGGTATCGGAGCGGACCTCTCAATCAGAGGACCCGCTCAATCAAAGTAGCAAGCTTGCTTGATCTATTGATTGTTGATTAGTAAACCAAGTAGGACTTCGTCCGTCAAATCTCTGAATTTTTTTCTTTCTCGCAACAAATATCTGAAAATTCCAGATAATAGCATTTCGTTTTATCTGAAAATTCCTGATAATAGCATTTTGTTTTATCTGAAAATTTTTGGTAGTAGCATTTCGTTTTCACACAACAAATATCTGAAAATTTTTGAAAGTAGCATTTCGTTTCTCTGATATTTGCAACAGAAACTTCTGATATTCGCATACATAGCCGAAAATTTCTGATGTTAGCATTTCGTTTTCTAGGCATATTAGGATAACGATATAGGTGGTCATATTCTCAGAAACCGGATTTATTCTTTTCTGAAAATCAAATCTCCATTCTATCTCGCAAAAAAAAAATTCTGAAATCTTGCGAAGCCTACCAGCATTTCGTTTTAGGCATATTAGGAGATTGGCATATTCTCAGAAACTGGATTTAGTTCTTTTCTGAAAGTCGCATGTCTACTCTATTTCGCAATTTTTTTTCAAGATCGCAATTTTGTGAAAGCCGAAACTTTGCGGAACCTAGCCTAGATCTCGTTCATAGTACTCTTCTGACATACCTCACTCATAACAGATCGACAAATATACAAAAAACAAAAAAGGGGGGGGGTGAGCCTCTTCTTTTATTTTTTTATTTATTTTATTCTGTTGATTAGGACCGGGGGGAAAGTATAGCTTGGTTGGTTACCTACCTGCGTTTTCCCTCCCACCCACCCCTTTGCCTGCATTCTTGGTTCGGTAAAGTGCCACGTCAGCAACAGTGCCACGTCAGCAACAGTGCCACGTCAGCAGTACCACATCAGCTAAAGTGCCACGTCAGCAACACAATACCACATCAGTAGTGCCACAGTGCCACGTCAGCAGTGCCCCCCCACCATGACGGGCTCAGTTCTGGGCATGCCAGGCCAACTGGCCAATGAGTCCATTGCTGATTACCGATAGCGTTTCGAAGCTCAGCTCGCACTGATCGAGGCTGAGGAACAGCGTCAGGCGGCAGCCAAGGCTGCCCGTCTACAAGCTGAAGCGGCGGCAACATCTGAAAAGCAGCGGCTTGAAGCCGAAGCAGAAGCAGATACACAGGCACGCCGCAAGGACGCCCAGGATCTGCTACAGCGGCATGAAGCCACCAGCATCGAAAAGCTCAAGTTCTGGCATTTTGACCCATCCGAGCAGCACGAAGACGCAACACCGGAAGAGCAGCACAAGGAGTTCCTGGCCAAACTCGTGACCCGATTGGTTTACACTTGTAACCACCTGCAGTCCGAGCTGGCGAATCTCCGACGGGCGGTGCAGAACCACAAGGGTCTGCACGAGGATGCTACACGGGCACTTGATTCCCGTGTACAGGACTTGGAGCAAGTAGCACCAAGACCAGATGCTGGCGCAGCCAGCAGTGCACCCTCTACCCGCCAACTGGAGGAACGAGTTGACCACGTCGTCGCAATGCTCGGCGACATCAGCACCTTCGCTGCACCAGCAACCATCAGCAACCAGCTGGACACCTTGAAGACCAAGGTTCAGCAACTGCACCAGCGGCCCAACAAGGAGGGCAACACCAGTCCGCAGCACTACAAGATGCTGACATTCCAAATCGAGAAGTTCGATGATTATACGCATCAAGACCCGGTCCCCTGGTGGGAGGGCTTTACGACGCAACTTCAAATTCTTTTCGTCCCCGAGCATACGTACATCGGCGTGTTGTTCCTAAACTCCAAGGACGGATGCCAGATCTGGCTCAACCACCTGGCAACCATTCACGACGTCGAGGTCGCAGCTGTCCAACCGCGAAGCAACAACAACCCCCGAGGAAAAGGGAAGGCGAAAACCGCATCGCCGGCCAAAAACGGACAGCCAGCACCTTAGGTCAAGTTTCACTTGACCGAGGCCGAATACAAGTGGCGCGGCCGGTATGGCTGCTGCTATTGGTGCAACAGCACCAAGCACAAAACCTCCCAATGCCCGGATCAAGGCAAGGAGGATGTTCGGCCTCGCATCAACTCGGGAAACTGAGTCGCGCGGGAGGTGAGTCGACTCCACCTCTCACTCCCCCAGATTCGGCCGCCTTGCTGGCGGCCTCCAGATGTGATGCGAATGTCGCAAGTCCTCGGTTCACTTACGAGGATTATGCTGTCCACTTGGTCCCACCGTTGGACCAACCACTCCACGTGCAACAATCCACCGCATGCACGGTTTCACTACCATCGGCAACCGATTCGGCAGCTTCACCGCCATCTATCGTCGGGCATTCGACGACATGGTCAAGACTTGAAGAGCTCGACCCGCTGACGTTTGCGGACTTCCAATGGATGCCCCTTCCCCCGTCCGGTCGATTGCCAAAACCGTATTGCAACGTGCTCATGGCACAATCGCGGGATTACTTGCACACTGCAGTACCAACTCCGTTGATGGACGCGGAGTAGAGGTTGTCGACCTTCACGACTACATTGCGAAGATCGACCGCGAGTTCAAGACACAACGGTACGACGACATCGACGCGCCATTGTTATACATACGCATTCAGATCGGAGAGGCGACCTGCAGCGCTTTGATCGATTGCAGAGCTACTCGTAACTACATGAGCCAAGACTTTATGGTACGCGCTAGCCTCGGGCCACGCGTTCGGAGGAAGCCGCAGCCCACGCAAGTCACGCTGGTCGACGGTCACACGCAGAAGTCAATTGACCGGTGCATTGATACCGTCCCCGTGTACTTTGTCCCGCATGCAAGCGAGGCCGTGTCCTTCGATATCTTGGACACCAAGTTCGACATGATCTTGGGCATGTCATGGCTGCGAAGCGAGGATCACCCGGTGAACTTCTACCACCGCACCGTTCACGTTCGTGACCGGAACGGAGTACTAGTCTAATGCACGGTACCTCCTCCTCACCCTTCAATCAGCTGCCACGTGGTGTCCGCCGCAAGCATTCGAGCTTCCATCATCCGAGATGACATCGAGGAGATGGGGGTGTGTTTTCTCCACGCCCTCCCGCCCCAAGACATTCCATCGACGGACTCACCACCGGACCCACGCATCACCGAGTTTCTCGACGCCTACGGCGACGTGTTCGAAACCCCGCACGGAGTAGTATCGGATCGGCCCATCCACCACGAGATCATCCTCGAGGATGGGGCCGTACCTCCGCGTGGTTGCATCTACCGCATGAGCGAGGAAGAGTTAAGTGTGCTAAGGGCACAACTCGACGACTTTCTCGAGAAAGGCTGGATTCGACCTAGCTCTTCGCCATACGGTGCTCCCGTTCTCTTCGTCCGGAAGAAGAACAAGGAATTGCGGTTGTGCATCGGTTATCACAAGCTCAACGCGCAAACCGTCAAGAACGCCAGCCCGCTTCCGCACATCGACGACCTCCTCGAACGACTGGGCGGCGCCAAGTTCTTCTCCAAGTTTGACCTCAAATCGGGATATCACCAACTCGAGATCCGGCAGGAGGACCGCTACAAGACCGCGTTTAAGACGCGATATGGGCATTTCGAATGGCTGGTTATGCCTTTTGGCCTTACGAATGCCCCGGTCACATTCCAAGCGGCTATGACAACGGAGTTCCGACACATGCTGGATAGATTCGTACTCATCTATCTCGACGACATTTTGGTGTACAGCCGGAGTTTGGACGAGCATGTGGAGCACCTGCGCACTGTTTTGGAGCGGCTACGACAAGCCAAGTACAAAGCCAACCGCGACAAATGCGAATTCGCGCGGTAAGAGCTGGAGTACTTGGGACATTATGTGACGCCGCAAGGCATCCGTCCGCTTGCGGACAAGATCGAGGCCATCCGCGTATGGCCCGAGCCCATCAACACCACGGGCGTTCGCTCATTCATGGGATTGGCAGGCTGCTATCAACGCTTCATCACCGGGTACTCAAGGATTGCCGCACCTATGACGAGATTACAATCGTCAAAGGTGCCATTCGTATTCGATGACGATGCACGTCGGTCATTCCAAGCACTCAAGACGGCCATGCTCATGCCACCTGTCCTTAGCATCTACGACCCCACCCTGCCAACGAGAGTGACAACCGACGTTTCCGGCTACGGTATTGGGGCAGTCTTGGAACAACACGATGGCAACGACTGGCACCCCGTTGAGTATTTCAGCCACAAAGTGGCTCCCATCAATTGACTTGATGATACAAGGAAGAAGGAGTTGCTCGCGTTCGTGATGGCTCTCAAGCGATGGCGGCACTTCCTCCTTGGGTGTCGTAGGTTCACATCGGTCACGGACAACAACCCATTGACCTACTACAAGACGCAGGATACGGTGAGCAGCACAATCGGACGATGGATGTACATCATCGACCAATTTGACTTCACACTGAAACATCTCCCCGGCATAGCAGATGCACTCTCGCGAAGACCGGATCTTTGCGCTATGACACATCATGCCTTCGCATTCGACGAGGAACTCCAGCGACATTTCATCTGGGGCTATGAGTCTGATCCGAATTTCGCCACATTGTATGCGCAGCTATCTTCGGATCACCCGCCGGCCAGCCACTATTGCATCGTCTATGGGTACTTGCTCCTCCACTCGAGAGGTAAGGACTTATTGTGTGTCCCACGAGACCGTCGTCTTTGGGCTCGCCTCCTTGGGGAGTACCATGACTCGCGACTTGCTGGCCATTTCGGACTCAATTGCACTATTGCACGACTTCGGCAACGATTCCGATGGCTAGACCTCATTACCGATGTCACTCGGTATTGCGACTCTTCCGAAGTTTGCCGATGAAGCAAGCCTCGCAACCGCAATCCCTACGGCGAGTTGCGCCCGATGCCTATTCCACAGGAACCCGCCTCTCCATTGCCATGGGCGTCACCGGTCCGTTTCCCCGTGACTGGCTCGAGCACGACGACATCCTCATGGTCGTTGACCGTTTGAGCAAGTATGCACGATTTCTTCCTTGCAAGTACTACGCCACGACTCCCGAACTTGCGCGCCTCTTACGCACCGACTGGATTTGCAGCCACGGCGTGCCGGAAGACATCGTCAGTGACCGAGACACTTGCTTCATGTCGACATCTTGGACTGCTCTCATGCAGGAATCCGGCACGAAGATGAAACCAAGTTCGGCTCGGCATCCACAAACGGACGGGCAAACGGAGCGGGCACATCAAACTGCTCAAATGATGCTTCGTACGCTCATCCGCCCGGATCAGAAGGATTGGGTTGACCGCCTCCCCGACATCGAGTTCGCCTACAACACTTCGTTGCATCCGGCGATCGGCGTGACTCCATTCGAGTTGCACCACGGTGGCCGGAAAGGTCATATCTTCGCTGATCTTCTCCTCCCACGAACAACCGATATAGAGGTTGCTTGCTCCCCCGCTTCTGTCCGGAAGTACAGGGAATTGTTGGCTCAAGCCCGCACGAACATGCAAAAGGTTCAAGTCCGCATGCAGCAGCAAGCCAACAGGCATCGCGTGCCATGTCCCATCCGCGCCGGTGATCTGGTGTGGGTCTTCGCGGAAGAGTTTGCACTTGAACAGGATGTTTCACACAAACTGCTTCCCAAGTGGTTTGGACCATGGCCCTTAACATCAGCCGCGGGCGATGAGCCCAATGGCCCCTCATTTGTGATCAACATCCCCCCGCATCTGACGGTCCATCCAGTCTTTCACGCCTCGAAGCTGGCAACCTATACACCAGCTAAGAGCGACGATTTCCCGGGCCGACGATCGCAGGACCCTCCAACTATGGATGGTCATCAGGAAGTTGACCGCGTCATCACGGATCGCAAGTACGGCAGCAAGCCTCGACTGTACAAAGTTACATTCAAAGCATGCGATCCCGACGACACTCGATGGATTTCAGGAACAGATTTGAAAGCATCCGCACCGCTGATCTACGCTCACTACGAGCAACAAAGGTTAGCTTAGGGAACTTCACGATCTGCCCCTCCCACCCGGACTGTGGTCCCTCCCTCAGACAGACAGCTTCGCCCTCGCAGGTAAGCTCGGTCTTTCAAGGAGGGGGGGGGGGTGGCATACTGCGCAGCCACACGGGCCTGCAGGGCCCGTCCCGCGGTCTCAGCCTAAAAGCCTAGAAACAAGGGCTTACAGGCCTCGTTTCGTTTCAGCCTGAAAGCCTGAAAACGAGGGTCTGCAGGCCCTATGTCTAAAACAGGGCCTTTCAGGCCCTGAGTCTTTTCAGCCTGAAACGGAGGGCCACTTTTAGGCCCTCATAAGATCGACCTGCCCTCACACTCAGGCACCAAACCAGGGTTTCGGGAACAGGCCAAATGGCCTGTTCCCACGACAGCCTCCGCAGGAGCTGCAGCGGCAGGCCCTGGCTCACTTCGGCATTGGCAAGAGCAGCCTCCTGGACTGCCCCGCCCTGCAGCTGCAGGCAGTAAGGAGGCAGGCCGAGTAGTACATAGGGAGTTCCCATGCACTTCACGGGTAGGTAGAAGGCAGGAGGCAGTCTTCAGGATTCGGCAGTAGCACTCTGGAGGAGCGCTGTAGGAGTAGCGTTAGCGCTAGTAGTAGTCTTCAGCGCTGGGCGCTAGTAGCTGCAGGAGTAGTCTTCAGCGCAGGGCGCTCACAGTAGTAGTAGTA